ATCACACACGATACGATTATGCCCAACCCTAGTTGGGACATTCTTTTGAACAGTGGTTGCTTTGTTTCCCCGATGTATAACTGGTCGCAGTCCTCCTGGCACTTAACAGCATATACAACATCGCTCTGTTTGTGCCGGGGCACCGGATCTTTGGGGTGAACCAGCCTTTKCCGTAATGTGTTTTGGGRTTTGAAAGCTACTGGGACATCGGAAATATAGTTATCCTCTGGCGGACTCGCTTATATAAAAGATGAGTCGATTCAATTGAGATCATTAGCATCTTTGCAGAACAATTATTGTTCTGGAGAAGCTGCACGGCTGCAGCCGTGGACTGTAACAGCTGAAGGGAGAATCAATGAGTCATTTAATAATTTTTTTGTGTCATAAAGTCAACACAAACAGCAATAAATCACAATGATGTGTTGGATAGACTGATGCTGAAACAGTCCTGCAACAAATGAGCCGTCAAAGAACAAGATCAGGTTATTCAGGTAAATATCGCCCGCCACAGAGAAGGTGGAGAGATGACGTTTCAGGTTATGTATGAGTTCATAGGTGTGTCTGTTTTTAGTAAAACATTTCAAGAATTTCTGAACAGGTTTTTAATGGAGCTTTTAGAAAAATGATAATTGGAGTCTAGGAAGATTCATCACCTGCTCCATCCAATCGCAGGGTCACAAGACCTGCATCCGATCACCTTTTTTTCTTTTATCACTGGATAAAAGTGTCTTCTCCCATCGCTCTGTCTGCTCACCAACCTAACGTCAACCTACCACCACCCTTGATCTTCCAGCTAGGCTTCACCCCTCTTCAGCCACCACCAGTGTCCGGGCCCCGGGGGTAAGAAAAAGCTCCTCTGAGCTTACAGCATCTCACAGCGTTCACATCCTCTGCCGGGGTCCGAGCGCCAAACTCTAATTTCATTCATGGGAATAAACTTTCCTCAATCTAATCATGTTAATAAACCTCCTAGTTCCAGTTTGTCTTTGTGAGGCTTTCCGGGTTAAACTGAAGGTACGTCTGATTTACATTTGGAGTCACCTGATTCAAAACAGCCACTCCACACC